GCAGCAGCGGCAGCATACTGGTGTGTGTTTGCAGTGAGGAGTGAAAACGAGCTAAACGATCCTCAGCCCACACAGCTTTTTTTTTGTGTGTGTGTGTGTGTGTGTGTTGCTTTGACGAGCGTCTGTGGTGGCAGGCCTGTCTCTGCAGCCTTCACGCCGCCTCTCGCCCGTTTCTTTATTGCATTACAGCCTGCGTTCATTTGAGAAGAATATTTCCAAACCGGGACTCAAGCCAACCGGCGCACGTTTCCCCGCCGCTCCTGTCAATTTACCGTATTTGCCTGAGCTTTCGTCTCGTCTCGCCGCCGCCTCTCCCTCTTCCCAACTTCCACTCCCTCTCCCTTCCCCTCTTTTGTGTCTGCCTACTCATAGCAGCAGGTGTTCACACTTACACATGATATAACATCTCGCGGTGAGTCAGTAATGAGAGATGAGGAGGCTCAATGGCTTGTTAGGTGTGGCGGCTTATCGTTGTTTCTTCCAGAAAGTGTGTGTTTGTCACAACAAATGGCAACACTCGAGACCAGAATCAGAAGTGATGCAATCTTAGTCAGTCAAACCCACCACCGATGGCTTTATCCAAGTAGAAAATAGTTCAATTATGTGTACGAATGCTGGAAAAATCCACCTTTCACCGAGTTTTCTTCCCGTAACTTGTCAAGATGTTGTCGATGACTCAGCCTTTCTTATCCCAAAGTATAAAATGTGATTACAGGTGTCGAAGCAAACCAACCAACCCGTTACCGCCTTATAAAACCGAGCTTCTTAAAACGTGCATCGAGGTGTCGGTTTGCACCGTCATCCAAATCATCAAGCGAGCGATCCTCAAAGGCTGCTGCCGGCGCCAATTTTGCAATCTTTGATTCATTTTGCTTTTGAACTTTAAAACAAAGTCGCTCTTGTCCCGGCCTGAACTTCTGTGGAGGAAAATTACAGTCGATGTTATTTCATGTGACCTTTAAGGAGGAGTCAGATTACATTAAATCACAGTGGAAATGAAAACTAAACTGGTGAGGAGTTCATCCGCCGCCAAGAGTTACTTCTACTATTTCTCATTTTTCTTCCTCTGATTTCTTCTGGTCGGCGGAATAAATCGATCTTAGACGATGTAAAAAAGATAAAAATTGAGACGCTGACGCTGCAGTTTTGTGGTGTCACAAAGCTGAGTCACATCCATGTTAAAAATCTGAGATGTAGTCTCAATAACATTGTTTTTTAGAGTGTAGACAGTAATAGAAACTAGATACAGACAGTAAACACAAAATAACACAATTTTTCTGCGTTAGTTTTGTTTGTTGAGCCCAAACATAGTTTTTTTTTAAACTTAAACCAGATATAGACAGTAAACGCTCTGTAACATCACAAATAACACAATCTCTCTGCTTTTTACTCAGTAGAGGCGGACAGATTTGCCTCTAATGTGTTTGTGTTTGCTCATTAGAAAACCAGATTAATGGCATATTCATTTGTTAGGAGGATAAAAAGGAGCACCCATGCATCATTTCAGAAATACAAACTAAACCGGTCAGTGGTTTGTATTCATCCGCCGCCAAGAGTCGCTTCTATTATTTCTCATTTTTCTTCCTCTGATTCCATTTTGCTGGTCGACAGAACAGATCGATCTTAGATGATGTAAAAAAACATAACAAAAATCAAATTGAGACATTGACACTGCAGTTCTGAGCTGTCCAAGGCTGAGTCACAACCACGCTAAAAATCCTGTCAGCTTTGAGCTGTTGTTTGGAGAACAAAGGCGTTTTTTTTTGTCTCGGCAGTCGTGCGCGTCTCCTGCCGAGGATGTCACCGTCAGCAGAACTCGCTGTCGGCTCTGTTTTCCCGTCCTTCTGCTTCAGGTAACACTGATGACCCGACAGGGAGCACAAACAAGACAATCTTCCCCTGACCCGCTGCCCTCCCCTCCCTCAGGCCCTCAGCGGCTACATGTGCTCTCCGGTGCCCCCTTGTAGCACTTCTCTTTGTGCGAGCGTGGCCCAGAGCAGCTCTTTTCTTCGCCAGTAAACAGGCATGTGACTGCGGATCAGCCGGCATTAACCAGCTCCGCTCAGCCTCGTTGGAAGTTGAAGACAAATAAGGACTGAAAGAGGTGTCGGGACGCCTTCGACGCTTGTTTCTGTGGTCCGACTGTCACCGCCTCCCTTAATGTGCTTCTTCGTCTCCCTCATTTCCTCCCCGCCTCTCTGGAAATCTAACAAAGCAGCGAGAGGGAGGACAGCAAACAGGAATGTTTATCTGCAGCCGGTGTGGATCCCCATTAGCTTCGGCCTTTTTCATTCTCCCTGCGATTCATTTTACAATAAGACGTTAGTGTTTGTATTTACACAGCATACAGCGACTAATGCACTTGTGACACAGCGAACAGTCCACGAAGGCTAAACAAAACGACCGAAATAGAACAATTTGTCAGCATATCTACAGTAATAATACTAATAACGACACTCAAAGACACTTTACAAAGTAGGCAAAAACAATAAAAGTGGAGAAAGGAGCATATAGAAAACATTTGAACATCTAAAGAAATAATAAGGAAGGAATAAAACAAAAATCTTAGTTATTTTGAGTATCGATTTAGCTGATTATTGGAGCCAATATTCAGCATTTTTCTGTATTTTCTTAACATATTTCAAGCCGCCTCTCTCAGTTTGTAGTCACTGGTTCCAAATCTCTTTCTTTTTACTTTACGTTTGTACTACAGCTGCCCTCATGAAGCACGTACTGTTTCATACAGTATGCATTCAACCTGGACGTACTACCGCGTCATAATAATGCTCCTTAAGCTTTAACCTTTGCAGCCTGTCGTGCAAAATGAGGCGTCATTTGTTTGCGCGCTCTCTGCAGCTCAAGCTCGTTTGTGTTCGATTGTGGATCAGAATTACCGGAAATGGATGCTGGCTTCCATGCTGCAAAATCTGACCACATGAAACAGGACATCTGGGTGTTTTTTTTTTTTGGAGTACTGCATTTAACATGTATTAGGACGTAGTGAATCTTTTTCGTATGGTACAGCCACTCTGTAGTCCTCAGCACTGATCTGATTGGGATGAACAACAGTCTACTTTCATTAAACTTCTGTCAAACATAAGCATCTTAACAGTTTGTCAACAAGATTTTCATTTTTGCCGCAAAAGTATATCAGTTATGGGTCTCCTTGATTGTATTAACATCAGCCCGAAAGAAACATATCATAGAACTTCTAAACTGTCTGCACTTATTTGGCACTTTTCCACCAACTTCAGTGTTTTGCCGAAGGACACTTCAACATGCGGAAGGTCAGGGGATTGAACTGACAACCGTCTCTATGATCCTGATAGTGAGCTGCAGCATAAAGTGGCCGCTCTCCGCTTTCTTTCTTTCTTTCTTTCTTTGATAACTGTGGTAATCTAAAGCTTTTGCATTCATCTTTCATCCGTTGGAGATCAGCATGCATTGAATTCTTTTATTGCCTCACGCCTGCGGTGGTGGTGCAGAGACGAAGGAGTGCAGCAATACAAAGAGTCTGCCGCTCTTCCAGGACTCCGTAACGACAGTCCAGGGTCTGCTCGCTCGTCTGCGTGAATGAACGCTCGTCGACGAGGCTCTCGATATGTTTTATGATTATGTTCTCGTGCTGCTGAATGTATATGTGCGTGCAGCGTACGTGGGTTTGTTCAGTTTCTGTGTGCATGCAGACTCAGCTCTGGCTGGCCCTGCAGCTCATCACACGCTACAGCCAACTGCTGATTACACAGCACTTGTTTTGTCCTCGCTCTACTCTGTTCTGCAGCTATTGTCAGCCAGGCAGCCTGCGCACGATTAGACCGAGAGCTTTGTCTAACACTCTGTTACTCAAGTCTCCCTCTTCAGCTGTTTTTGTCGTGCGGAGGACACGTCAGTCCTCGTCTCCTGAAGGTTTCGGACCCAGAAAACGCTCTGTCCGGCTCGTTCCCTTGATCTGTCCTCGGAGCTGAGGCCTGTTTACTCGGCTTGATGATGTTATGACAATCAGGAGGGCATCAGTTCCGTTCCACTTCCCGTCAGGAGGCTCCCTGGTGTGTGTTTTGGGACGGTTTGGCATGCAGAGCTGCAACGCCTCACTGATTAATTAGAGTCCCGCGCAGTGACACCCCGAGCATCGGTGGAGCGTCAGCAGGCCGTGACTTACAGCACGACGCCGAGTCATTTGAAAGCCAGTCGTGTGAAAGCAGCGGTTTTCAATGTGTCCATTTTCAAAAGGGAGTTAGAGTGAAGTTCAGGCGGGGCTGGGTGCTCAAGCTTCCTGCTTGCCGAAGGAGGAACTGCATAGTTCAGTAAATAATGACAGAGAGGACTCAGATAACAGATTTCCCCTCGTGTTCAAATGGTGGGGAAGCAAACAAAGATGGGAAAGTCTAGTAGGAAGAAAAGAAATACCACAGAATTATTCGACAAATCCTGCGCTAACACTTGTTTCCACTGCGCTATACCTGTCGTGGCTGACGATGGAAGGAATGCTCACTGTTTACTTTGAAGAATAAATGATCTGTCCGTTCTAGGAAGACTTTGGTCCCAGGAGGCTCAGAAAGCTGTGCCCTCCTCAACTAGGAATGTCCTGCTCTGTGAGCCATGACGGACTCCATTTTTTTTTTTCTCCATGTGCAGCCTCTCATTCCCTAAATATGCATCAGAGCAAAACACCTTGTGCACACACCCAATCAAACCTGCACTCATTTAACCATTAACTCAGCCAAACGTTCCCGAAGTGCGTTTAATTCTCCTCCCGTCTGAGCCCCTCTGCTCCCTCAGCACTGCAGCATCACATCTCGTATAGTTATCTGTTGCAGTACATGAGCCGCCCTACGTGGTCAGACTCCTCAGTACGGAAAGTGTGTTTATGAGAAGAGTGAGTGGAGCCGACAGTTTCTCAAGTCTGTCAGCCGGGATATTCGCCGGCTTTTACGAGCTCTGTAATGATTGAGTGCACCAACCCCCCCTCCGTTTCTCTCTCTTTCTTTGTCCTTCTGCAGGCGCTAGCGGCCAATGCCGGCACAGGGTTCGCCGTGGCCGAGCCGCAGGTGGCCATGTTCTGTGGAAAGCTCAACATGCACGTCAACATTCAAACCGGCCGCTGGGAGCCCGACCCATCCGGAACCAAGAGCTGCGTAGGAACCAAAGAGGGCGTGCTGCAGTACTGCCAGGAGGTAAGTCACTGCGACACAGACAGATCTCCATCCTGTCAGTCTAGAAGTGATGCAGCTCAGACAAAAAAATAAAAAAGTCAGAAAAGAGCAGGAAAAGCATCTCTATGAGCTGAATTTTGTTTGAACCCTCTGAACCCCAAAACCTACTGGCAGCTATGTTGTCTTTACAAAATCAGCAAAATTAAACCATTTATCAGAGCCTGAAACTGTAAAAACAGAACGAATCATCAGATCTCTGATCCACTCATCTGTGATGGGCCAATCGGCCGAGAAGCTGGACGAAATCTAAGCTTTACATTGTGATTCCTCATCAAAATCACAAAGGCCCACCGCTGTAGCTCACCTGGTTCAGCTGGCGACCCATGTGCTGGGGCTATAGTTCCCCGACGCAGCGGTCATGGATTTGAATCCAGCCTACGGCCATTTGCTGCAGGTTCTTCCCCCATTCTTCTCCCCACTTTCCTGTCTCACTCTCTACTGTCCTGTCAAATATAGGCAAAAAGGTTATTTGCTTTAACCAGATTCTATAAAAAACAAAAAATTCTGGAGTCCTCGGCACAACTGAAAAGCCATCAGTGACTGAGCTGTGACCAACGGTCATGCTACAAAAATTCAAAGACTTTCAGTGCAACTAGGCTGAACTGCAGGCCGTGTTTACACAGAGCAAGTAGGAGAAAAGAATGGAGGCAAAATGAAAATGTAAGATGTAAAATGTAAAAATATCTATAATATAATGAGTCACCATGTATTTTCCAGTATTGCTAACACATCTAGGTGCTTGGAAAAAATACTGAACATGCTGATACGAGCTGTTTTAATTTTTAGGAAAATAGAGAATCGATGTAATTTAACTTTGATCCATGCTTGTGCTGTTTCCATAGAGGTCCAAGACTTTGAAACATTTGCCCACAGTATGTAAAATATAATATGCCAGAATCTGCAGCTGTAAATGTGCAATGTGCATTTAAAAATCAGAATTTTATGGCCTTTAGTTGAGTCGAGTTATATGTTGTGACTTGCATATTTGCGCTGGTTAGACTTCATTTCAGTCTCATTGCTCCAGTTTGCACTTTTCTAGTTAAGCATTCTAATAAAGTCTGTCAGGAAAAAATTGTAAATGTCATTTAGTGAGAATTAAAGTAAGAGTTTGACATTTTGGGAAGCGCACGTATTTACTGTCTTGTTGACAGCTGAAGGATGAGAAAAGCAAAACTAATCTCGTGCCTGTGCAACAAATTGGTAAGAAGCAGATTTAGCAAACATGATGTATTAATTAGTGAACTATAGAGCTGCTGATGGGAATATTTTACAGGGTCGGGTGGTTTAGTTTAGCTAACCTGCTCCTGGCTCTGTGTCTAACGGAGAGAAAATGAAAATGGGATCTTCTCGTCTGGCTCGTGGGAAGAAAAAGTTGAGTAGTAGGGTCGGAGTAAATCAATACAATCAAATTATAGTTTTGCAGAGGTATGCAGAGCTGCAACAAATGAACTGAGCAACTGTTGTGTGACTGGATTTTTAATTTCATCGATGGATCTGGAGCGATTGCTTGAAATTCAAACTGGTGCTTTAAGACACTAATATCAAGACAACAATAGCAACAGTCGTTCCGTACAGTTCTTTCTTACCTCTGCTGTCACCTTCATGTGCACATGTCGAGTGTTGAATGGGCTGAACAACATTTGCATAAATGCAATGCATTCAGGCGTTTAGTCGTAGATTCTTGCTTCTTAAATTTATTTTCTGATTCCTTCCCTTCTCTTGTGGACAAATCAATCACCTTGAGCTTTAGGAAACTCTGATGTTTTTCACCATTTTCTTGCATTTTATAGATCAAACAGCTGATTGATTATCCAAAAACAACAACTGACAGATTGAAGATATCTTGTTTTTTTGTTGTTTTTTTACTGTTGCAGCTCAATTAGTTAGCACAATGTAATGTTGCAGACATTTTAGTTGAGGTAGGGGGCTCTGCAGGTCTGAAAAGACCCGTGTTATATTAAAGGGAGCTGGCTAGCAAGGTGGAAAAAGGCAATTTTCATTTCGCTGCGATTTGTCATTAGAGAGGCTTTTGAGCTCTTCCTAACAGACACATATTATTTACAGTATAGTGGGTGGCATTTCAATTACCAGACCCTGTGACTGTCATTTTCTCTCGCTGCCTCTAAAATTAAGGACATGTTTTTTTCCATGGCATGGATATCCTCGCTCTTATTTACTCGTTCCTCCTACTGTGTCTCCAAACCCAGGAGGCTGCTGGTAATACTGTCATGGTTTATTATGCAGCTGTCCAAAAGTAAAAAAAAAAAAAAAAAAAAAAAAAATAAAAAAAAGCAAAAGCAGGGCTGTATGTTTCCAAGCTGCCATCCTCAAAAGCTTCAGTTGCATTTTTTTTTTATGACATTTTGATGGCATTTGGGGGAAGAGTTGAGCAGATGGCATCTAGAAAGTATAAAGCGTGGATTAAAGCATCCTATTGAAGCTCCACTTATCGCACCTTCTCTCCCTCGCACATATATTCAAAAGTCCTCTCTCATTATTTGCTTCCGTTTCCCTCCCGCAGATGTATCCAGAGCTCCAGATCACAAACGTGGTGGAGGCCAACCAGCCGATTCGCATCGAGAACTGGTGCAAGAAGGAGAAGAAGGTGTGCAAAGGCCACGCCCACATCGTGGTGCCTTACAAATGCTTAGGTAAGCCTAATGAGTAGTTCAAGGTCCGGGGGAATCTTCACAGACGTTTAGGTGGTTGTAAATGGCCCTTCAGATCAGGTGCTCCTTGTCTGTATCCGCCAGTGCAGAGAAGGACTGGATTATGATGCATGGGCGCCACAGGCAGAGGTGACATGGAGCGATATTGGAGTCTGATTCAGTTGACTAATTCTGGCCTTGAGCTGCAGATTGAGCAGATCCAGGCTGGATGGGAGCTAATGTCTCTGAGAACGGATGGCTAAAGGAGAGTGGAGGATGGAGGTGGGAGCAGTGGGGGGGGGGGAGAGAGAGGCTATTATTGCTGGGGAGGCTTGTTGAGCAATAAAGCACAATCTTATTTCCCCCCTCAGACAGTGGCCATAAACTCACACAGACACACAGGGTCAGCAGGAGAGGGGGTCTGCGAGGAGGCCGGCTTTATTACTCCCCATTTCTCCATTCGCCTGCACTGTCATACACAACCCTCCGCCTCCTCCGTCTCCTGCAGCATCAGTGTAATCAGCAGTGGCAACATGGCTATATTCTGCTTTATTAAATGTCAGATATAGCCTCGGAGTTTGCGGGCCACATGCCTTTCTGTCCCCGACTTACAAGGAAAAAAAACCACAGCTGCTGCCTCGGAGGATTGCAATAACGGAGAGTTCTGAAACAAGGCTTCTCCCTGTATTTGTCAGGAAAGGGAAGAAGAAAACATCTTCCTCCATGCTGCAAGACACTTTCCGGCACCCTTCCTCCGTCCAAAAGCCTCTTGCTGATTGAGTTGTGCCGCTTTTCTTGGATGAAAAAGCCATTAGCAGTTGCACTGGACTGTGAAATGGGCTACAATTCAAGAGCATTTTTGGCAGAGAGGAGGTTTGGGGGGAAATTCATGGGACAGCAAACACACAACTAGAGTGTCTACTTGGTGGCTGAGACGGGAATACGGATGAGAGGAGTTCACAGGCGGAATCGGTCTCCAAAAATCCCCCCTCGGTTTCGCTCTCGTCTTACGTCCTCGAGCTGTTTCTCTCGCACCATCTGATGCCGTTTCCTCGTGTCCAGCTGTTGCACCTATCAGCAGCCTAAAACGTCTCATTACGATTCATTTGCATGACCGCCGTGTAATTAAAACAGTCCCATTACCTCTTTTTGGAATAATTAAGCAGCTTCGTTGCTTGTTCTTGCAGATTTCTCTTCTCAGGTCCGCGCTCTCGTGCCCCGTCAAATTACAGAGGCCTGCTCGGCCGCTCTGCCGGGTTTTGAACTGACAGACCAGAGGAGACAGATGGAGAGCGAGAGACAAACATAAGGTGTTGGCTGGAAGGAGGTGATTCAGTGGGTTTCTGCTTAATTATGTAATGGAGCATGTTAGGGGGGCTTCGTTGGAGGGCTCTGATCAGATGCTACATGCCTCTTTCGCCTCACCTCTCTGCTCCATTATTTGTCAGGCCTCTCTATCGGATCAGATACGATAACGAGCTCCTCTGAATTATTCATTGTTTGTGATGTTCACGTAATGTTCCAGAGAAATGAACATCAGAGGTTCGGCCTCATATTCGTCAGTGTACTTTAATTATAGCAGAATCAAAAAAGAAAAAAAAAAATACTCCAAAGGGAGGTGGGCTATAGCTCGAAGGATATGATTAAAAGGACCAGACCAGCACCCATGTCAAGTTAATAGGTTTATATGAATAATGTAAGTGCTAAGGACGGAGCTCGCTGTTCAAAAAAAAAAAGAGAGAGAGATGGGTTATGCCGTATCCCATCTCGCCATGCGAAGGCTCAGAGCCACAATCCCTCCATGTTTCCTGTCCCCCAAACAATGGCTCCGCAAATGAATGAGATTTTTGTTCCATGGCACTCTAATCCTTGCAGCATGATGTCTTTGTCAAACAGCACAGGATTATTTCAGAGACTTTTTTTTTTTTTTTTTTTCATTATTATGTCTGGAACGGTGAGAACAGTCGGTGGCAGATGTGTGGCTGGAGCGTTGCTTAGACCGTCTCTTACACAATGATTAAATCGTCGGAAAATTTGCTGGGACAACACGGGCTGCGGCAGCTTTCTGCACAACAACAACGTGTGCAAAGAAAGTATTTTCTGCTCCGGGTAAACACGGGTTCATGGGGAACTTTCAGACGGCAGATTTACATTTCGTTCCTCGTTTAGAAAATCCAGAACTTCGGTTACATTTTTTTTTTCCACTGTGGGCTCATTTTTCACTGCAGTGTAAAGTCCTGCACCTCTATGGAAACAACACAACCATAGCTGGAAGTGGAGAGAGCTCTAAAATGTCTGCTTTGCAGTACAACAAAGCTGCAGTGGTGTAAATCATTAAAAAGTAGAGTTTCTTTGATTATTTATTCTACCAAAAAAAACAACTGGAATCATTATGTATATTACTTTGCCTCAGTGTTATCAATACTGGAATACAGTAGTGGCTCGACTTACTATAAATATTTTACTATTTACATTTTTTAGTTATTTCCATTCTTGTCTCCTGTCTGCTTTGTATAAACACTGCCTGCAGTTCATGTGAAATCACTGTTTGTCGCAGTAGAGACATGAAAGACTTCATGGTTGTGCCAGGAGGGCAGAATTTTTTGATATTTTTTTAGAATCCGTTTAGAGCAAGCGCTGTTTTTGTGGCAATTTTTTAAAGGTAAAATAAAGCGATTTTAAAGAAACATCAGAATTTTGAACTTGGTTAGGTTTTCTGACAAAATGCCGAGTCACAGATTAGTAGTTCAGGGTATGTGGCTCTAAGTGCAACAGGTATTTACCTACTAACATTTTTTATTTGTTTCTGTGTTTGCTCCGTCTAACCACAGTCTGCAGTTCAGGTGAAAAGATCCTGAATTTTTGCAACGTGATTGTTCACAATTTTTTTTTGCAAAGTCTGATGACTGCAAGTTATTTTTATTTTCACTTTTTTGCAATTTTTTAAACACATGACAAAGACTTTAAAAAAAAAAAAATCAATGATCTTTTTATTGAATTTTAATACAAGAGAATTAACAATATAAAGATTTTCGTTGTGCATTACACAGCAGCATAAAGTAAAAAGGAGTAAGGAACACAAATTCTATGCAGAATATTGGTATAGTGTGTGTGAAGAAGACAAACTAACCAAAAACAGACAAAAAAACAAAAAAACCCCACAAGAAATCTGCAAAACATTCCCGGCAAAAACCAACATAATCACAAAGAGACACTGGTAACAAGTCCTCAAAGCAGCAACCAATATACAAGACTGTAAGACTGGATGTCAAGTGCTTTTCTCTTTGACAAAAACTATTTTTAAAAGAGATTTTAAGCTTCTTTTTTTTTTTTTTAAAGATTTGATTCAATTTTGCTGACGTAACAACGCTTTACAAAGGTTTAGCTAAAGTACTGGTGCAAACTCTCCTTGTTTTTACAGTTTCTGGATAGATTGCGTCCTTTTGCCTGTTTTTTAAAAAAGAAACATGTCTTTTAAACCTACTGAAGAGTTTTGGCGTTTAGATGATTAACTTCTGTTGCTGTTGATTCTAATCCAAACTGCTCTCATGTGTTTCAGGCGTATTGAGCTCCTTTTTGACATTTTACCCTCCACCTCATGGACGTTTCAGTAACAAAGCGTTTTACGGTCTCGTTTCGGTGGGAACATTTAACATTTATGGACCTGACACATGCTGCTGCTCCTTCCTGTTGACTAACCCTGTGGAGCAGAACAAACAGTGACTCCTCCTCGTATCACCAGAGCGATTGTGACTTCACTGATAATGGTACAAACTCAGGCTTGTTTCAGAGCGCCACACCTCTGGCTGTTTGCATTCCTTCACTTCTCAAGAATTGTTTTGCCATAACACAAAAAGTAAAAAATAAAAAAAAAAGGGACTGCTTTCCTTCCCAGTGATACAGTCATGTGACAGTATTACAGATTTAGCTCATGTGGCTGTTAGGTAATGGTAAGACTTGGGCAATAACAACAGTGTTGGTTCAGCCTCTGGTGGAAAACTATAAACTTGTTCTAAAAACACTGTAAAAGTCGTCTGTGTGTGTGGAAGCCAGGAGTCAAATGCAAACGTTATTTCCGTTATGCAACATCAGCCTCCAGTCGTAATCTTGGTGGCAGATCAGGTTCCTTCCACTTCAAATGCACAATCCATGACGGAAAAGTAAACAAAAGTACCACGCTGGCTAAAATCAAAGCACGGGAATGGAACCTGATATCATATTAACTGTACGGCAAGAAGTCAGACGATACAGCTGAGTGTGTGGCGCTGAGATTTAGTTAAAGCAAGAAAAACTGAGTATTCTGAGTCATTATTATCCTACAAATGTTGAATCTATAACCAAGGATCTTCATCTATATATCATATTATATCTCATATTAACTCATCAACAGTGCACAAAACAGATTATCTGCATTTTCAAAGACTGTACAGACTTCAAATTAAATCAAATTAAATGGAGTCTACTTATCTAACAAGTTTAAAACGACCTCAGTTGATCAAATTGCTGCTCATGTTGTTGTAATTTTAAGTTTAGATTTGGTTTAGTTTTATGTCTGAATGGCACGTCACAGATGTTTAGCTCAAACACCGTTGAAAATCTGCTGATTCTCTCTATTTTTGCAGTTTCTGACTGATAAATTGTGCTTTTTTTGGCTATTTTTTAAAAAGAAAAACAAGTCTTTTAAACCTTCTGGTGAGCTTTGAGTTATATTTTCAGATATTATACTGACTTTAACATAATCAGAATGCCATAAATCATAAAAAGGTTGAATTTCTTTCATTATAGTTTTCATTTTTCCAAATGTCCACACCCGTTAACACACAGGAAATCAAAACTGAGGCTCCACATAGTATTGATAATAAAGTATTAACATTTTTAGAGCTTCTGCAAACATTTTTCAAAGTTCTCTACAAGACATTTCACCATGCTGAATGTATCCTCCCACAACTTATCCCTCTGTATCCTGTTTTTAGCCGTGCTGCATTTCTTTTATTGATCCAGTATGTTTTATGTACCTCTCTAGTCTCCTTTCCATTCTGTGGAGACGCTACTTGCAGTTTAACTAAAAACTCTCTGAATTTTTGTCACCAGACTGTTGGTCACAGCAGAGTCACTTATAGCCTCACAATTGAGCTGAGAAGCTCAGATTTTTTTTTGTTTTTTACAGGATTCTATTTGAACAAACTGTTTAGTTTTGACTGTTTTTTTCACAATTTTTCAAAAATTAAATTAAATGCAATTATATAGCAAGTTTCACAGTAACCAAGAGAAACGGGCGGCAAGAAAACTCCGTGCAAAAAGCAAAACAGGATATAGATGTGTGAAATAAGTTTGTTTAAACCAACTAAAATCAATTTAAAACACCAAAAAACAAGGCAAAACAGGATAGCAACTACAAAGATTAAGTTCCTGAATAAAATCAAATATTAGAGACTGTTAAGAGCCGACTCGCTTCAATTAGTTCCTGCAGACTTTTTCTGAAGAGCCCTTGAAACAAGACATTTGAAGCTTTCTTCGCCGCCTTCCAGTACCGAAGGCCTCGTCAGTGCTTTGCTTGTGCAGTGTTCTCACCTTCACATGCCTGGGGCGCCTGTGGTGCCACCGGTCCAAGGATTCGACGGCGTTAGCAGGAGTATCTGATACATGCAAGGTTAGAGGAAAGGTGGATGAATAGAGCAGGTGGAGAGGAGGTCACCGAGGAGGAACGCGAGCCCTCACACTAAACCGAGCCCCGCAACGACACGCAGAGCGGCGAGCGAGGCACAGCTGCTCTCCAAACACCGCCATCCATCACCCACTGCACCAAGCCCACTCCACCTCGCAACCAAAGAAACCTCAGAGACGAGACGAGCTGAAGAGCGAGTGAATGAGTCGCTCGGCATCCGGCGTGCAGGATGTGGAGCCGAGGAGGCTTTTCCTTCAGCTTTCTTCTCTCTCTTCCTGTTTCTCTGGATGCTGAGAGAAGATGGAGTTAGCAGAGCAGTAAAATAAATATATATGGCAGCAGTAAAGCCAGGCAAAATGACTATAAAGTAAGCAAATTTCATGCATTCACAACTTTACTTGCGGGCAGTAGAAAAAATATTATCAACAAAATCCACTTCAGTATCAAACATAAAAGCACTCATCATGCAGAATGGCCACTTTCTGAGTGTTATTTTATGGATTTAACTGCTTTATTGTTGTATGTAAATGCTCCAACTCTAAGCTAATGTTCACTGCTTAACAGTGTATTTATATGTGCGGGTGAAATATACAAAAAGAAGTAACAGAAGAAATAATTGAGGCTTTTAGGCTTTAATGTTTTTCACTTCGCGTCATGTTTTTACTCGATGCAACATAAAGTCCTGCACCTTCGTGGAAACAGCACAACAATGGCAACAAGTACAGAGAACTGATTAATGTCTCTTGTGCCATAAATCATAAAAAAGCAGAATTTCAAACCCTGGAATCAACACATGCAACATTTTTCCACCTGCCTTCAGGTGTTACCAAGACTGGAAAACAGCGACTCTTCATGCTGATAATATTTTACTGCTTACATTTTAAATTAGTTCCCATATTATCTCCTCTCTACTCTGTATAAACACAACCTGCAGTTCAATCTAGTTCAGTGGCGAAACAAAAAACTCCCTGAATTTTCCTCCCAAGCCCGCTGCTCACACCAGAGTCACGAATAGCTTCACGGTTGCACCAAGGACCACAGAATTTTTTCTTTTTGATGGAATCTGAGTAGAGGAAAGAGTTTTTTTTTTTAAATAGACACGTCGAATAAAGTGATTTTGATGAAATATAATAATTTGAAACTTCGATTTGGTTTAGTTTCCCGACCAGTAGTTCAAGGATTGTAGGAGAGCTGAAAATCTGGCTGTGATTTATCCACTTCTGATAATCATAAATGAGAGGGTTTTTTTCTGGGCTATAGCTCGCCTGGTTGAACTGGCGTCCCATGTAAAGGGGCTACAGTCCCCGACATCATGGGTTCAAGTCTTGCTCATGACCCTTTGCTTTCCCTCATTCTTCTCCCCCTACTTTCCTCTCTCTCTCTCTCTCTCTCTCTGTCCTATCTTAAAAAGCCAAAAAAATATCTAAAAACAAACATCTGCTTAGAGCAGGCTGTATTTTTAGGCCAAATATTTAGACCAGACATGTAGAAAAGCACGATTCAAATGAAATATCACGATTTTTAACTTACATGTGGTCAAGTTTTCAGACAAAACAGCTTGTCACACGTTTATAATGCAGAGACTGTGGGGAAGTTGAAAACCTTTCTTTGATTTATGAGTGTCTGACACTGGAAAGTGGTGTCATTTTGGTGATTTTTTATTTTTTTTATTTTTTATTTTGGGGTTCACAGTTTTAAAATATCACACATAGTTTTCCTAGAAACCCAGGGAGCTGTTTTAAAATTCAAAACTCATTGTATTCTATTTAAAGTCTCATAAAAAAGAAGAAGCAGCAATTAGTTGATCACCTGATTGTCAGCATTGGTGATTAATTCAGTGTTTTGATCTGATGGGAGCCTGTATCTATGTACAGTACTTGTCAGCTGTGGCCGAGCAGACAGGCACCCGAGGGTCCACAGGGTCGGAGGGGGGGGTTGTTACTGTACCTCCTGGGCGGAGATGAGAAGCAGCTGCTGAGTCCTCTTCTATTTCCAGCTCTCTTCTCTTCCTATCCTACCCTCTCATTTTCCAAAACACTGCTTTTTCAGCCTCGGCCTGCCTGCTTCGCCTCGCCTCTGCTCCGGCAGCGCTGCCTCAGGCCGAGGTTAAGGCGGACCACTAAATGAGCAGTTACAGGACGGCTCCCAGCCTCCGTGGAGAAACCTCTAGACCCTCATTTGTGTGTTTCCAGTCCGCCCACTCTTTAGCCACTCTGATCTCAGCCCGGGCTTTGCTCTAAACCTCCTTTTCATCCCTCCCTCTCTCCTCCGTCGTTCTCTCTCCCCGCCTGGCTTTTCCATCTGTTTCTGACGGCAGCGCTTCTACCTGAGCACCTTGACGCGCTGCCAGCCAATCAGCAGCCGGCGTCCTTTTAATCTCTCCTCTGACCCCTGCACCACATTCTTAGATGTGCAGCTATACGGAGGAATTCACAAGATGCCTTTTCAAGCCATTTATTTCCCCCCCCAGATCTGCCTTCCGTCAACTATGAATAAAGCATCCCTGAATTGAATTCATCAAGCAAATGATATCGTTGACTCACAGGAACAGTCTGGACCACCTTAAAAGAGTCGCAGCGTGAAACCTGATTTTCCCCCCACTGCCATTTTGAATGCAGAATTAAAGATGCAGCCATAGAAGAGGAATGAATCCCTCTGAGCGTCAGCGCAGACAGATGTTCAAGTGTCAAATGGTCTTTCTGTTATGCCACTGTAATGAAATGTAAAGGACCAGGCAGCTATGAATTATTGAATCCTGTCCTTTTTTTCTTCACTCATCTCATCTGCGATTCCTTTTCAGTCCCGCCACGTGATTTATTGTGTCTAACTTTGGCCGTGTTGTTGAGCAGCGATTTTTTATTTTTATTTTTGGGGGGACAGATTGGTCCTGTGACTAACAGCAGTGTGTGTGTGTGTGTTTTATTCTCGTTACAGTGGGCGAGTTTGTGAGTGACGTGCTTCTGGTTCCAGAAAAGTGCAAGTTCTTCCACAAAGAGCGTATGGACATGTGCGTGAGCCATCAGCAGTGGCACGGTGTGGCCAAAGAGGTAAGGAAGGAGTCATTTCATAGGAACTAGTGGAAGGCTGTATAGCAGGGTTCTCCAATCCTGGTCCTCCAGGGCCACAATCCTACATGTTTTAAATGTTTCCCTTCTTCCATCACACCTGATTCAAATGATCAGCTCATCATCAAGCTCTGCAGAAGCCTGATAACGATCCTGATCATTTGAATCAGGTGTGTTGAAAGAAGGGAAACATCTAAAACATGCAGGACTGTGGCCCTCGAGGACCAGGATTGGAGAACCCCTGCTGTATAGCAATACCTCTGTTCTGTGTAAACACTGCCTGCAGTTCAGCCAAAAGGTTCCTGACTTTTGTCACGTGTTGTAGCTGAATCACTGATGTCTTCACAGGAGGAGGACAGACTGTTTTGTTTTAGTTTTTAGTTTTCCTTTCTTGATAGAGCAAGTGGTATTTTTTGGGCAAATTTTTTAAAATAAGACATGTAGAATAAAGACATTTGGATGAAATCTTATTTTAAACTTACATTTGGTTCGGTTTTCTGGATAATCCCAGATTAGTAGATGAGGGTATGTGTCTCTACATACCACAGATGTTGTGTATTACTTAGATTTTGAACTCGTCTCTGTTCTGTGTAAACACCGCCTGCAGTTCAGCCGAAGTGTTCCTGAATGTTAGTGATTGTTTGCTGCAGCTCATGTCGTCACATTTGCAACGAGGAGGACAGAATTTGTTTTGTTTTGAATGTGGTCACAAATTAGTTTGCGGAATTACAAAAAAACGGTCACTACAAATCGTTATGAAAAACCCTAACTCTGATATTTATGATGTGGTTTATTGGGGGATTTACGTCTTTATGTTAAATAATCGGTGAGCTTCTGAGCTTTTGACTTGCCCAGAGGGGATAAATAAAGTTATTTGAATTGAATTTAATTGAATTTTGGTAACAAGAAATATTCGGTTTAGTTTTCTGACCGATTGGCACGACGTAGATGTTTAGTTATGAGGGAATTACTTCAGGAAACAGTGGGTGGCTGCATCTCAAATATATCAATACACTGCCTACAGTTCAGCCGAAAAGTTCCTGAGTTTTAGTCACATGATTGTTGGTCGCCGCTGAGTCGCTCATGTCTTTACCATTGGGCTGATGAGGACAGAATGTTGAATCTGGTCACTGCAAATAGTTTATATTCTAGCGACAAGACCTTTTTTTTTTTTTTTTCGATTTTAAGGACAGATTGGGTTTAGTTTTCTGCCTGACTTGGCCCGTCGTAGATGTTCAGCTATGAAGGAATTACTTTAGGAAACAGTGGGTGGCTGTATCTCAGAAATAGCAGAGAACCGGAGAAAGAAAAGTCCTGTGGGAAGAGGAAGTGTCGAGCACCGGCTTAACTTTCAGAAATTAAACCGGCCAAATTTTCAGTCTCTGCCACACTTTGATTGCGTTCCAGTCCTTCCGCGCTAATATGTTTCCACCTGTCTGTGCGAGTCTCTGAGGTCCTCTGATCACAGGCTGACTGGGAGCCCTCACATTTCAGCTCCTAATCAGATTAGTGTTGTGGCTGTAATGCAGCTAATCTCCCCCCGGGCAGCTCCAGAGCCGGCCCCCGGGGGCCACTCCGGCCCCGACAGTAAGAGCAGCAGAGCCGACGCTTCTTGTCACTTCCTGACTCTTACGAAACGCCATCATCCGCAGCCTCGCCGTGCCATCCAGAGGCACCGACAACCTGCAGTCGATTACGCATTCGTCACGCGCGAGCAATAATAAATCTTACCAGTGGGGAAAATCTGGGTGAGAAAAATGATTCAAAAACAGTGTCTCTCCGTCACCACCTGCCACTGAGATGTTCGGCTAATCCTCGACTGCCACAGTGGAGCTTCTCAGCAGCCATCAATTAGACTGAACTTGCACTCGGCTCCTTCTTGCTGCTGTATGAAGAGCGCGATTGGTGAAAAATCACTTAAAGGAGTTTCTGGAAGTGAGACGATTAATCATCCTACTCAGTGTGCGAGCAGAGAACTAGCTCTGGATTCTGCTGGCCTGATGCTTCAGCACTGAACTACCGGTTACAAAGTGTAGCTCCGTGGCTGTAAAATGAAATAATGCTCATTATTAACAAGGATTTCTTCTAGCTTTATATTTTGACATACACTTAACAGATCTGATGCCACTTGTTGGGCTGATTCTACCTGAGAATTCATAAGTGTTTAATTTCAGTGATATAAAAAATAGATTAAATCGATGAGTCATTGAAGGACCATTGAAAAGTCGATGATTCTTTCTGCCTTTACAGTTTCTAGCTCTGATAAGTGGTGTCATTCTGATGCTATTTCCTTAAAGACAACACGTCTTTTTCAAACCAACCCGATCTGTTTGTTTTTAATGGGGAAGAGTATTGTCATTTAGTTGTTTTTTAAAGATATTGTTGGTTATTTTTTGATGACTCATTCTAGGAAAGTTGAAAAGTCAATGATTCTGCCTGTTTTAACAGTTTCTTGCTCTAATAGCAGGTGTAATTTGGGCTATTTTTTTAAAGATAATATGCCTTTTAAACCCACTGGCGGGTTGCAGCTGAGTCGATCATGACTCCTCGATTGTGCCAAAGTTTTTGTTTATTACAGAATACATTTTTTTTAGGTGACTTTTAAATGAGGGAGAGTCAAATGATTTCTATGAGTCGCCACTTTTCAAGTTATTTTTGGTTATTTTTGATGATTCATTCAAGGAAAGTTTGAACCATCAGTGATTTTTCCATTTTTACTATTTCTCGCTCTGACAAGTGGTGTAATTTGGGCTATTTTTTGAAGATGATGCTTTTCAAACCCACCAGCAGGTTGCAGCGAAGTCAGTCATGGCTTGTCGGTTGCAGATAGCAGAATTTTTCTGTTTGTTGCAGAGACTGGTTGTTTTAGGCGACTTTTGAACGAGGAAAAATAAAGCGATTTCAATGAAATATCACTTTTCAAGCTATTTTTGTTCTTTTTTATTTGATGACTCATTCTTGGAAAGTTGAAACGTCGATGCTTCTTTCTGTTTTTACTATTTCTTGCTCTGATAACTGGTGTAATTTGGGCTATTTTTTGAAGATGATGCTTTTCAAACCCACCGGCAGGTTGCAGCGAAGTCAGTGATGGCTTCTCGGTTGCAGATAGCAGAATTTTTTATTTGTTACAGAATCTGGTGCAGTCGGTTTATTTTTGGTGACTTGTGAACGAGGAGAAGTAAAGCGATTTCTATGAACGATCACTTTTCAAGCTATTTTTGATCTTTTTTTTGATGACTTATTCTTGGAAAGTTGAAAAGTCGATGATTCTTTCTGTTTTTACAATTTCTTGCTCTGATAATTTGGACTATTTTTTAAGATAATATGCCTTTTTAACCCATTGGCAGGACGCAGAGCAGTCAGTCGTGGCTTTCGGTTGCACTAAATTGGCAGAATTTGGTGCATTTGGTTTATTTTTGGAGACTTTGTGAATCAGACATGCAGAATAAAGTGATTTAAGCTTACGTTTGGTTATTACCAATTACGTTTTTATTTTTTTTGAATGAAAGTTTGAGTTGAAAATGTGACGATTCTTTCTGGTTTTATGGTTTCTGGCTCTGTCATTTTGGAAATTTTTGTCAGTCCATCGGCAGGGTCAGACGGCAGGCATTGCCCAGGCGAATAAAAGTTAAACAGATCTCGCCCTGTCAAAGCGAAAGCAGCCTAGAAACCACAGCAGCAGCAGCAGCAGCATCTGGAGCCCTGTATCATTCTGTTTCATCAGCATCTCTTCTCTTCTGCCCCCTCAGGCCTGTGCCAAGAGCACCATGGTGCTGCACAGCTACGGCATGCTGCTGCCCTGTGGCATCGACAAGTTCCACGGCACCGAGTACGTGTGCTGCCCGTCCTCTCGCGTCGGGGAGTCGGCCCCGCCGTCGCTGCCCTCGCAGGAGGACGACATGGACGAGGAGGTAGAGGACGAGGAGATCGACATGGTGGACATGGTGGACGAGGAGGCCGAGGAGGAGAGGTGAGCAGGGCTTGTTTTTTCTTTAAATATAGCAAGCGTAATATCCGCTCCGTTGCGGCGGGCAGGTATTACCGGCCATCTGGATGAATTAAAGTTCCGTGACATTGATCTATGGCAGCTGCTCTGCCTTGTTTGATAAATCACTCCTCTGCCTGGCTTCGCTCTCCTCCGCTCAGCGAGACTCCAGCTGACGAGCAGCCCACGCAAAAGGAGGAGCCGGTGGACGAGGAGGAGGAGGACGAGGAGGAGGAGGACGAGGAGGAGTACCACTACGTCTACGAGGACGAGGAGGCAGATAAGGAGGACGAGGATGAGAAGAAAGAGAGCAGCAAGATGTCAGAGAGCCAGGACGAGGACAAGACCTTACAAGAAGTGAAAGGTTTGTATCAAGTTGTTGAAATGAAAATCCTCCCTCTCTGTCTGTCTCTCTTTAATTATTTGGCACTTTGCCTTCCTTTTGATTATAATCCAACCTTTCCAGTCGTGCACCAGTCTGTAATTAGGTAAGTGTGTGTATCAGCAGACACTGTGAGTTCTGCTTTATCAGAGTAGAAGAACAAATCATCCAGCCCTAAAAGCTGCCGCTAAATGTGCAAAAAGGAGCTGCTGCAGCATTCTGTGTAATCATATTTCTACATGATGTAATGAGTGTCTGCCAGTTGATTGTGCTAGAGACTGGAGTTTTAGTGCTGCCCCTAGTGGCCGGATGATCTAACGGGCTGTCCCCCGGCAGCGGTGTGCACCCTGGAGGCTGAGACGGGCCCCTGTCGGGCCTCCATGCCCCGCTGGCACTTCGACATGAGCCAGAGGAAGTGCGTTCGCTTCATATACGGGGGCTGCGCCGGCAACCGCAACAATTTCGACTCAGAGGAGTACTGCATGGCCGTGTGCAAGCGCCTGAGTAAGTCTCACGTGGCAGAGGCCGGTTTCTCTCTCTCTCTGTCTGTCTGTGCTGCAGACTCCCTGCTGAAAAACACCGGAGGATAAACGCAGGTTCAGTCTGTCGCTGATCTGTGAGCGGAACACCTGTTCTGCCGTCTTCAGCTCTCCCTAATTAAATCACTATAGCTGCTGCTACCATGTCACCTCCACCGGCAATCACAGCGACCGAATTCACTCAGAATTACTCTCTTTTGTTCTCTGCCGAGACACCAAGTGCTGTTCTCATCAGTTAATTATTGATTAATTGTTTAAGCTAAAGGAATTACCACAGTGTCCCCGAGCCCAGGGGAACATGTTCATTTTGTTATATCCAACATCTAAAAATGGGCATTTTGTGATTATTTAAAACAACAAAAAACCACCAAATCATTGTGTTTATAAGTGCGAGTCAGATTCAGTTTAGTCTTGTTGAGCCATAAATAGCTTAAATAGTTTCCCCAATTTATTGTTTTGTCTCAATAAATAAATCAAATTATAGTTTCAACACATAATCACTAAATAAAATGTTGCTTTACATTCACTTTTTTATCCTTAAACAGGCTTTTTCTAATGATATAATACATCCTAATGTTTTGTGTTGATGGCACTCGTTGGTTCATTAGCTTTTGATTAGTTGTCAACTAAAAATCAGACGGAATAAAATTAATTAGCTTCCATTTCAGTAAAAAATGAGTCTGTTTTAATGCTGCTTTACCAAACCGTAATGCTCTGTAGCATTAATATAAGGAAACTGACATTAAATGCTTTACTCACTCTTTGATTGGATTTAATTGTAATTTAACCAATTTGAGGCTTTATTTTCTTTAATCTTTTTGTACAGCTGTTGTGTTTATACAACATTAATTATTTGTGAAACTTTTGTTAAGAAAAGACAGAAATCCTGCTCATTGACTTATTAATTGCAATGAACTTTTTAGTCCTTTGACCTTCATGAGGTGACGAAACACACCAGCACCTCTTATGATAAGTTCAATATTATTGTTGACATTTCTGCAAAGATCAATTTTTAATATATTTATATTGTCGTAAACATGTTGTAGTTGCTCTTTTCTTGAGGCTCATAGTCCCTGATTGGCTTCACCTGAACAAATGTTGGTGTCATGTTGTGTGTGAATCAGTTTTATTTGATGCTGGACTGAAATGTTCTATTTCCAATCAGGTTTATTCAGAGTAAAATGACTTTGTGCAGGAGCTCTCTCTTGTCTTACCTTAGGATATATCTTCCAACACACCTGAGAGATTTTAAAGTCAGGATTTAGACATTTTTTTGTTAAAACATGAGGTTTTTGCTGAAAAACAGGCAGATTGTACTAAAAGTAAGGTTTAAAAAAAACTACGATTTTAGTTTAAACTCAGAAACTTCAATAAAAAATGTTTAGTATCCAGTCCGGACCTTCAGAGTAATACTTAGACTGTGACACAAAATTAAAATTAAAGTAAAAATACAAAATATAACATTCATAGTTTCACGTCACTTCTTTTTTCTTCTTACTTTGGTGTTCATTCACATGCATGCTAACTTGAAATAGTCTTTTCTGTCTTCTTGTTTTGCCTGTCAGTGTCCTGTCATTTGTCATGTGTCTGTCTGTCTGCCAACCCGCCTGTCTGTCTGTCTGCTCACAAAGCACTGCCACTAATTTTGATAGAAACCCACCAACACACGTCAGTAAGCATCTCTTTTTTTTTTTTTGCACCTCGCACTGATTCATCAGGTTAAACACAGTTCATGGCTGATTGGATTTTTCTTTTTTTCACTCCAAAACCAAAGACTTTTAGAGCTGAAGCGGTGAAGTTTAGAGGAGGAACCGTCGGGGCGGGGGGTTTATCTTTAACCCGTGCCTTTTTGGGAGTTTTTTTTGCTTTTTTGACGATGGGGTGAAACGATGAGGTCTCTTCTTGTTTGCGAGCCCGGAGCGTTATTGTTTTGGCGAGTCGCAGCGATGCAGCCAGTGAGTCCTGCGTGACTGTACAGCGAAGAAACCCAGAACGGAGCCCTCTGGCCTCGCCTCAGATGACCCAGCTGTCAAACGCGGAGATATTTCCATTAGTGTTGGAGACGCGACCTGTCAGCGGAAAGCCGATGGGAAGATGAAAGGAATTCAAATGGAAAGACTGTCAGATTCTCTTAAATTTATCAGACTTACTAAGGGTGGAGGAGCGCCACTGAGAGGAGTGCTTTCTGTGAGGATTTGGGTCCAACTTCAATCTGCATTCAACTCTCCTTCTCCCCGGTTGTGTGTCTGTCTTCGTCTTGCTGCCTACCTGTGTCTGCTTCGGATCTGTTTTCTGTGTCGGGTTTGCGAGCCGCTCACCACCGGTTTGTTTTGACATTTCGCAGTCATGCCGCCGACCCCACAGCCCACCGACGACGTGGACATCTACTTCGAGACGCCCGCCGACGACAAGGAGCACAGCCGCTTCCAGAGAGCCAAAGAGCAGCTGGAGATCAGACACCGCAACCGCATGGAGAGGGTGAGTCGGGACGCCGGTTCCCTAATTAAAAGGATTACAGCGTCTTACCGCTCGATTGCGCTCAAGTGTGAGATTAGGAGAAGGAACAAGGTCACGCTTTTAAAGGTCTCTCACCTTAGATGCTGTAGGACCACCGTGCATATCGCTTCATTTCCTTCTCCGTGTGTCTCTCCCTCCAGGTAAGAAAAGAGTGGGAGGAGGCTGATCGCCAGGCTAAGAACCTGCCCAAGGCCGAGAGGCAGACATTGATCCAGGTAAGACACTGATCCTTCCCTCTGGGAGCCTCCCTCCCTTTTGTCCCTTTGTTTGGATGAGATATGACGGCTTACAGGCCCTCGGTCCCTCACTCCCTGCTCCATTAAAGATCCCTTTTCCCCGGCTGCTCTATCTTTATCACTCTAAGGCTAAATTAGGGCACCGTCTGAATGGGGAGACTTCTAAATGAGTCCCCAACTCCCCTGACAAGCCTGGAAGGCGACATGAGTGAAACCGAGAGCTGCTTAGTAGAAGTTGAAAGAGCGCCTCGCATATTTAGACACATTTATATATAATCATGATTTTTTGTTTATAGCACTTCCAGGCCATGGTGGAGTCCCTGGAAGAGGAGGCAGCCAGCGAGAAGCAGCAGCTGGTGGAGACTCACCTCGCCCGGGTGGAGGCCATGCTGAACGACCGCCGCCGTCTGGCCCTGGAGAACTACCTGGCCGCCCTGCAGGCCGACCCCCCCAGGGTAAACCGGCAGCCTTCCAGAGCATCTCTTTTATCTCCATCTGTTTTTTTTTTTTGTTGTTGTTGCCTCTCTTCTATACAAATTCACACACATACAGTTCAGCGAGACCACACCGAGCTGTGGCTAATCTCATATCCCGTCAAAAGACCCTCTGCCAACTCGCAATTCATCACGAGGAGAATGGATTACTGCACCCAGAAAAACACACGTCCCAAAAAACCCTCCATAAGCACAAAGTCAATCACATTTGAACCTACAGCTATAATCCCTGTGTCATGTTTTTATTTTTTTTAATTCCTTTTATCTAATAGTCGTCTGATCCTTGTGCCAGCAAACGCTTTGGCTCTCTGTTGAAAGGTGCTGGTCGCCTCTCAAACCGCAGCTGTTGGGTTTGCATCCAAAAAAGAAAACAAAACATTGATTAAATATTTTTTTTATTTCCATTTCGAATGTGATAACTAGCCCGACCTGGAAGAGCAGTAGTTTTTCTATCTTTGCTTTTGTTACACCTCCAAAATTGCTAATTGCATCATCTCTGCCGTGGTGCTATTTCAGTGAGAAGATCTTATGTTATGTTGTATGCAGCGGATGTGAAAACAACATTCTTGTCTTGCTCCTGCTCAGATAAAAGACAATCATTTCCACCTTGTGTTTTGTTTTTTTTTTTTTGTTTAAAGTTGCACAAAGTGCGCTCGTGTCTAACGAGAATGTTTGGTCATATCCTTTCATCATTTTGAGGTTTATTACCTCGAATCAAACGAACCTCAATCTGACGAAATTTGATTCTTTTGAATGAAAAGGATGAAAGCAATAAACATCTCTGATGGGTCCAAGATTAGAAAGGAAATACAATGAATTGATTGCACTGTAGAAAAGAAATGTCTTTCATGTTGCTTATACCTACGCAAAGCAGGAATACTGCATCATTTTGAATCCATATTTCACCATTTAACACTCCTAAAAACCTCACTTTTTGTCCTCTTCAGCCCCATCGCATCCTGCAGGCCCTGAGACGGTACGTTCGCGCCGAGAACAAGGACCGCCAGCACACCATCCGCCACTACCAGCACGTCCTGGCTGTGGATCCTGAGAAAGCAGCTCAGATGAAGTCACAGGTCGGTGTTTTGAGCTCATCACGAGTCAGTCAAAGTGACGTCTTCATGTTGTTCAATCAGCAGCCAAAAAAATCCAGATAAAACATCAAATCCCCACATCTTTGTCAGATTTAATCAAATTAAATTGATGCAATTAATCATTTATCAACGCCCGCCTGTATTTTTAGCTGGTTTTGACAATCGAGACGTCCCCGTATTAGAGGCCGCGTCAGTAAAACCGAAAACTCGTGCCAAGCCACTTCCAAGATCTCGCCCTCCTCCTATTCCTGCTCAGACAGGGGAGGGATAATGATGTCTCTGCCTGCCCCTCTCTGCCCTGTTTCTAAGTGTGTAGGAGGTAGAAAGAGTGTGTGTTTTCTCTGAGCCGAAGCCCAGGAGGAGCGAGGAGGCTCGACTGGCGGAGGGGAGGGCGGACGGGCGTTTCATTCACTTAAGCCTCAGCCGAAGATTAACATTGCACAGGTCTTGTGTAACGCTGGACTCTGAGCCGCTGCACTGGGGATTTGGCTGGAAGCTCGGCTGTTAGATGTACTCGCCTGTGTGTGTCATTGCCCTTCGACACCATTTAGAGTTATCCCCCACCATTACAGATAACGCAGCAGATGGATGAAACAACATAGCGAGGGGTGGGGAGAGAGGGCTGGAGGGTTACTATTTAGATAAATCGATGGGATCTGGGAGGCGTTGAACCTCCGTGCTCAGTCATGAGTAGCCAATCTATGCTGTTGTGCTCTCGCAGTGTTTACTTGTTCCCCACTCAGCCAATCCTGCAGCAAGTCTGCATTTTCAGTTTCTGCCTCGGCCGTCTGGCTCCAGCGCGGTTGCATCAAATTCGCTTTTTTTTTTTTTTTTCCTGCACTGGGACATGTAATCTTTATAATGAAGATTGTTTGTCAGACACGGACAGGAAAGGTGCCACAGGGGCTGCAGCACATCTCTTAATGAGAAAAAGGTGCGTTATTGCCATCTGTTGCTGGCTCCGGTGCACTGCAGCCATGTGTTGCGAGATTAAAACAGTCAATCATCGTAGAGGGAAATAAACACCAGTTACCTGCCAAGAGCTGGTCAGCTTTGTCAGTGGCGGCTTTTCATATTCTGCCAACCCATTTTGGCAGCAGAAATACGGAGACATTTCGTCTCTGTAAACATCATATTGCTGGTAGAGATAGTGGAAGTGACCAGGAGTTTGTTTGGGATACGCAAAGTTTTCTGTTTTTTCCCCCCGATCAAACGAGTTGTGCGACTGTGATACGGCGGTGATCATCGGGGCTGACAGGCGGTGGATCCTGTCAAGTCGGTTCAGAGCTTTGAGTCTGATTTGAATATTACATGCAGCAACTTGTTTTATGTGTGCAAGTTGGCTGGCTGCGAGCGAGGCTGAGTTCATCTGGAGAAATATGCTCTCCCCCCCCACTGAAAGCACATTTCTGTGACAGCTCAGTTTAAATTTGTGAACATGAACAGCTCTCTCTAGTCGGTACATTGATATTCTGGGCAGAGAACAGCCAGCTGACTGCCCTCAAAGTTGCACTGTATGCGGATTTATTCCATTTGGAGAAGATTTCAAGTCTGTTTCTTGTTTTAAAAAAAGAAAAACAGACTCGTAGTGGAATCAAGGTTTTACACACATGACAAGATTCTCTTTGCTTCCTCGTCTCGTCTCGTGTTGTCTTCATCTTTGTCGTCTTCTTCTTTCTGGTTGGATTTTATCTTATTTTTCCTTCTGACACCTGTTTCTGAGGGTGATTATAATCGTTGCATGTGACACTGCATCACCAGCTTCTCTGTGCGAATCTCAAAATCTCAAAATAGGTGTGCGCTATCTGATGATACGAGGTGACAAAACTTCACTAGTGACGGTGAAAAGAGGGAGTTTTTGAGATAAGCAAATATTTTCTGGTTCAGTGATGTGAGATTTTAAATAAGTACCGTTGAGATGGAAATGTCACATTAATAGACGGCAACTCGCGATGATACAATGATTAGGATTAATGGCTGTTTTGAGCGAAATAAACAACAAAACATCAACAAACATGATGATTTAGCATTTTATAGTTTATCTAAAAACAAACCCTTCTTTGCCACTCGAGGGATTTGCAGCTTTTTTCTTTCTTATAATGTCGATTTTGGAAAGCTCACGTCGGATTTGGATTATCAGAACAGCTTCACCTCAAAGTAAATAAATGAAAATCTGTTTTCCAGGTGATGACCCACCTGCGGGTGATCGAGGAGAGGATGAACCAGAGTCTGTCTCTGCTCTACAAAGTTCCATACGTGGCCGAAGAGATTCAGGATGAGATCGGTGAGTCTTGTTCAGTCAAAGGCCTCCCAGGCGGCCTGGAAGGAGGGACGGTGTACTAAGGATAAAGAGAAAAGAAAACAGTGCTGGAATTCATACATGTGCCCCACAGACAGAGCCAAAGCATGCATTTTTTTGTGTCTCGTGGTGACTTTTTAAAATCTTGTATCTGTTGCAAACTGACGTCTCTTTGTGCAAAAAGGAAATACAAATAAATTAGTTATCAGAGACACAGAAATATATTCAATTTTCCTCAGTGTGAATTCGTTAATGGGATTTTACTCTGTATTTAAGAGATCTCTGCTCACCAGCTCTCATACCTACAGTCAGATCTGTATTTGGGGTGTATTCATGCTCACTCAGTGAATGTCCAGCACATTTTAATATTATCTTTTGTTTCTTCTGCTTCATTAAAGGAACAATAGTTTGCGTTGCAGCACAGATTAAAGTGGAGCGGCTGCAGTGACAGAACTGGGTCACAGCTTTCACCGTGCAGCGTTCTGTTGGGACATGAGCACATTTATATGGAAAATAGCTCTCAGAAAAATACTAATTGGTACTTAGCAGAAATGGGAGCAGACTGTTGGATAAAAACTGTCGGTGAAGCTGCACGTTGGTGCCGTGTCCCGGGCTGGCAGGCGTTGGTTAGCATGCAGCACGCCGCCTCACGCTCTGTCATTTGCCCTTTTGTGCAGACGAGCTGCTGCAGGAGCAGAAAGCTGACATGGACCAGTTCCTGTCGTCCATCTCCGAGTCGCAGCCGGACGTCACCGTGTCGTCGGAGGAGAGCGTGGAAGTCCCCATGTCCGAGGGCAAACCCTACCGGCCCATCCAGGTCACATCGCTGGGGTCCCGCTCAGAGCCGGAGGGTGAGCAGCTCCAGACACTGAACAACACCGAGGCTGTGTGGAGGAGAACAATAGGTCGCACACACAAGTCTCTCTGAAGGACATTAGTGATGAATCACGCCAGAACTGTTGCACAGAGACAGAGAAAAGGTTTACAATGTGTTTTTGCTGATGGAAATGTGCTGTGGAGCCCTGGGTTGGGACTTATCTGTGCCTGCACATTTCCCTGTGGCCTCGCCTTCAACACAGCACTACTGAAGTTCAGATAAAGGCACAAAGCCTCAGGCTTTGGTGCTGAGTTGGAGCCAAATGCTTGGGGAAAAAAATGAGCAGTTATGGCTCTATTCTTTGTCACATTTGTGCCAAACAAAAGACTGAATCCTCAAGGAGAAAAAAGTGATGGATGGAATGCTTCCAGCGAGATGGAAGGCAAATTACAAGTAAATCCCCAACGGAACATTTCATATACATGCCAGCAGCCCAGAGGGCCTAGACACAGCTAGCCAACTCTGAAATGGCTCCCTTTTTAAGTTTGATTATCTCTCAAATTTATTTTCATACTTTTCCCTGCTGAACTCTTTTCCTAATCAATTAACACAGCTTGATAATCCTGCCTTTTCTCTTCTTACTTAAGTTTTCTCTCTTCTCTCCTCCCCCTTTTTCTGATCTTCTTTTTTTTGTTGTTGATCATTTCTAATGCCAAGGCGATCTATCAGACTCCCCACGTGCCTTCAAGAAAGGTTGGTGCCTCTGTTGCGTCTTGTTTTTCTGCCCTCCCATCTCCCAAGCCATTCCCATCTTCTCTTTTGTTCCACTGTCCTCCTTTTCCTTTCCCTTTGGTACAGTTTCCTCTCTCTCCTCCATTTCTGTTTTATCAGAAGCCATCTGTTAGTTAATTTTCTACTTTTTTTTTTTTTGATGACTCACATGGGCAGCGTTGTTAGATCTCAGCTGCTCTTATGGTTTCCATCATAGTAGGATTATCACCTCATGCTGAATAGCCGAGCAGAGATCGGTCACAGCCAGCTCCCCTCTCAGAGAGACTCTTGAGTCGTGTGTTCGCTGTCATCCCGTCCTCAGTGCTTAATTATTCCACCGCCCACGCTCTCATTCTCCTCATCGTTCGCCCTCTTCCCGATAGGAGCCGCGAGATTTAGTGCCGCTGTCTGAGGCCCGGTGTTTCCGCTGCTGACCCACAGCTCAGCCTAAATTGGCGCAATTTGTCCTCCGAGGCCGGAGACAGAGATGTGGTTACGCCACCTGTTTGGCCTGATATGGGCTTAACCTCGTGATCCCACTCAGTGAACGCAGAGATACCTGCCACTAACTGTTGAAGCTAAATTAGCAAGAAAATCAGTTTCAAACATCCAGAGTATTCAACACATCTGCTTGATTAATGACTTCAATGATTGTCGGTTGATTTTCTGTCGATTGGGAAATCAATTAATGGTCCAACTGTTTTAGAACTTACACATTCGTCACGCTGTTATTACGGCCGGCTGTGACACTTGGTGCAAACTGCAGCACCGTCTGATAACCTGCCAGCATCCCTGACGTCACTCCTGCTGAGGGAGGCTCGTACACGCACGCCATTGTTCCTCACTTAATCCAAAGGCAATTGTATTAATCTGAAGCGTCTGGCACTGACTGAATGTAATAAGCTGATGGTGAACGGCGCCCTCGCTGCCACGCTCGCCCTCTTTCCTTTCAGTTGTTTCACGGTATATCTGGTGGATGTGTCTGTTTTAACCCTCCGAACCCCAGAACACGCTGGCGAGTTTGGGGCGGCTTCTTATCTGTAAGAAAATCACCAGAATGGCACCATTTCTCAGAACCACAAACTGTAAAAACAGACGTTTCCTGAAGTAATTATCTGTGGTCTGTAGAAAACAATGAATCAAATCTAGCCTCAAGATTGTGATATTTCATCAAAATCACTTTATTCTATGTATCCCATTTAAAAATTCGCCAAAAAGAAATCCCCATGTTCAAAAAAACATCTGTTCTGATGATCATCCCATAAATGAACTGGTTGAAATAAATACATGTATACATGATAAGAAATTTATAATTTACTCTTTGTATCTCACATAAAGCTTCTTGTATGTTCCAGTGTTTCATAATCTGGACATGTTCAGCTTGTCTGTGAAGATTCTCAGTCATCCAGGTCATTGTTATTCTGGTAGATTAATCGTAGCAGCTGGACTTGCTTGAGTTCCTTGAAGACGTTTCAACTCTCATCCAAGAGGCTTCATCAGTTCTGACACGATTCTGCTGCGATTAGTCTACCAGAATGACATGTTCGGCTCTAGCTGTGCCAGATGAACTCTATCAACACCTTTTCTGGGCACCAACATGGTGGTCTGGACAGGACATCTAATCACATTCTGTAAAAAAAACAAAAAAATCTGCACACCTCCGCCCAGCTGAAAAGCAAACGACTAACAGTAATGTGACAGAAATTCTTCGGTTGAGCTGCAGGCAGTGTTCACACTGAGCAAAGGGAATGACAACAAATTAAATGTGTAAATAGTATGTAAAGGTGTCGTTTATTTTCCCAGTATTGGTAACATAAAAAATGTTGTACATGTTGATTCCAGGGGGTTTTTTTTAAATCAAAGAACTCTGTTTCTTCTTTTTTTATGATTTGATGAGCATCATAACTGTGCCATACTGCACAGAAGATATTTCTGAGTTCTGGCTACTTTTAGCCATGTTTGTGCTGTTTCCATAGAGATGCAGGACTTTACAGGGACAGGAGTGAGAAAAAAAAAAATGCATAGAAGCTGCCTGGGGTTCACAGCCAGATCGCTCTATCATGCAAGATTTGTGTAAGAAGACCCACAGTGATGTGAGATGAGCGAGGGATACAAAATGCCAGGATTGTCATAATTGTAAAGTGGGGTTTCATTTAGTGAGTCGATGCATGGAGCTGGGTGTTTACAGAGAAACCTCAGCTTTATGCAAAACGCTGCTTTGAGAGGGCCTTTGTAGACGCTCACAGTGCTCACGCTGTGCTCACGCTGTGCTCAACGGAAGAAAGGGCTTTGTTGTCACCAGCGCACTGATGCGACAGTTGTGAGGCAAAAAAAAAAACCGAGCTGGATGTCTGCGTGCAGCTGTCCACCACCAATACCACCATCCCCGCTTGTTTGTTTATCTGTTTGTTTGTTTGTTTCTGCTAATCTGCCGTTATTGACAGCCGCTTCTTCGCCTCCCGCAGGCTCCGCCATGTCCGGGTTAGACGGTCTCATCGGTGCGGAGGAGAGAATCATCAACAGCAAACCCAAGATCAGCGAAAACGTGGTAAGAGCTTCGTCTTCCCTGCTCGTGCCTCGAAGCATTTCTCTCTTTCTTGACTTTGCCCAACACGTGAACTGAGAGCAGCGTTGTTAAAGCACAAGGCAGGGAAGAATTCGACAAAGACGCTGACAGTTTAATCGCAATCGCCGCGACCTCGGTTTCGAGGCGATTGAGCTGATGATTGAAATTAATGAGTGCACGCAGCGCTTTCACATAGCTCTCTTAAGTTCAGCTTCTAATGAGACAGATTACTCCAGTAACTATGTTGTCATAGTTACAGCTATCTCACACTGGGCTATTTGCGTGTCTGTGTTTGGCTTCTGCCAGCTGACCCTCATTCAGATCAACTCCTCGCTTTCTTCAGCAGTCATCGCATGTTACTTTCCTTTGCACACACACACACACACATACACACACACACACAGACACACACCAGCCCTCCTCATGGATTTTACACTGATGTTTGGCTGCTGAATGTGTGCCGTGCCTCGCATGCTAATCCAACACCAAGCTCAGTGTTTGTGTGTGAATCATGCAAGTTTTTTTTGTTCTTTTTTTAATTTTTTTGAAAGCAAGGGGGGTGGTTTTTTTTTTTAATGCCGGTTTTTCTAAGACGGAGCAATCTGAGGTTTTAAAAATAACACCTGAGATGTTTGTCTGGTGAGACTCTGGACTGCTCTGTCTCGACAAACTGCAGATTTTTTTATTTTTTTTTTTTATGTTCCTGCCTCCTGAACACACCACTTCCACTCACAGCGCTCCAGATTAGAGCTCTCAGTAATGAGAGGCTGACAGTCTGTTTTGAAAGACTTGTTAACTGTGTGCCGAGAAGAAAAGTCTGTTGTTGATGCTTGCAAACCCCCCCTCCCTCTCTCCTTCCAAGACAGCTCCAAGTGTATCATCACCCAAACACAGATAATCCTTACAGTTTACTTCGCTGCACATTCACACCTTCTCGCCTCTTTCTCTCTCGCTTTCTTTCTTTCTTTCTTTCTTTCTTTCTGTATATACATATCTCTCTATCACACACATGCAATCACACACACACACATTGTGGCGAGTGTAACCTGGGCTCCCCTGTCTGTGTTGACAGGTGATTGATGAGTCACTGGATGTTAAAGAAGTGGTTTACAGTGCAGAGAGAGTCAGCGTTATGCATGATGATGAGCTGGTGAGTATAGCGGCGCCCTCCACAGGGCTCTCTGGGGAACTGTAGTCATCAACAGTAGTGGGGAGAAGATGAAAGAAGGAGGGAGTGTGGGAGTGTGTGCAAAGACACCAGTTCTGCAGCTGATAATTGTGCATTAAAAAAAAAAAAAGAAAGAACAACACAACGTTGGAACAGACCCCTAATCCCCCCTCTCTCTCTTGTTTTTTAAAAGTTTTCTGTTCAGGCGAATCTATTTTCTGCATGGGTGCATGTTTTGTTATGTGAATGTATGTGAATGTACACATTGAAAATCTCGATTCATACGACGAATGTGAAGCCACACAAACTGAGCGCGCTCAGTTTATGTGCGAGAATGAGCCGGTGATGGAAAACAAACAAAAAAACAGACAGAAAGTCTCCAATGGCTGTCCACATATGATTAGTTTGCGTCATATGTGCCAGATCGCATTGCGAAGACGATGCAGGTGACCGTGGTTGTGTGTATTTACACCGAATTGGCCAAGATATTACACAATCCTCCACAAAGACACGTTGCATGAGTGTGTTCACACGATTCACGAGCCAGTCATGTCGTACAGATCCTCTGCCAAAAGGGATGTCGTCCCTGATTCTCTGCTTTTGTGGCATAACACGAGAATTAGAGTCAAATCTCCTCCAGTCAATTTATTTCTGCCATTTCAAAGCATCTGCGAGGAAGGTTAATCTGCAGAAGTGATATGTTTTTCTAACCAGCCCTGCAAATACAGTTTATGTGCGGAGCAGAAGAATCTAATGTCGGTCGTCAAAATGAGTTGTTGCTCTTATTTGTACTTGTATTTTAAAGGGAAATTCTTGTGTGAGTCAGCCGCGGCGCTAATCTCATATCTTCCCATTATTGCTATTGATCATGATAACAATTTACTCAGCACCTCTGCTGCTGAGATTTGGAAAATACAGATTCCAGCAAGAACTATTGATCTTTCTGCATCGATCGGGGGAAGAAGTGCTTACAAAACTTTCCTCAAAAAAATTTCACATTAGCAGCGATCATTGCGAGCAGACGTCTTTGAGTAAACACCGATAGCTGTTCCGTGGGAATCCTCGTAGCCCCATGACACAAACTGCGCCGTGTTTTAGATCCAGTTCAAGGTCAGTTGAACAGATTCATGTGCAGGTTTGATTACAGTAGACTGAAGCTCAGTCTGCGTGCAGCTTATGTCCCTGTTTGTTAAACTGGAGGATAAAAGAAGTGTTCAGGCTCTCTACACAGGAATGTAAAACTACTCTGTTACAAGTAAAAGTCGACTTAAGTACAAAATGTAAAGTATTAAGTTTAATCCCTCTGACTAACATATTAAAATATCTGCCATAATTAGATTATTAATGGTGAAGCATCAGTGAGTCAGCAGCAAGTTTGAACTACTTTAAATCCAGTTTTATCTACAGAGAAAGAAGATTAATCGGAGGACTCCAAACAGAATTAATGGGAGAGAAAAGGCAGAAAAACTGAGTTCCGACGCACAAATCTGTTTATAGGTTTTGGACCTTTTCTCTAATGTGAAAGATATTAGATCATTTGTTATAGAAATGAAGCCATGTGAGAAGTTTAGAGGGGAAAAAAAAATCTGAGTTTGATGGAGCTGAAATGTGACCCTGCTTGTGTAAGAAGCCATGAATCTTGGAAATAGCTGCTTCAACGTCTAACAGTGTGTTAAATTCATTCATCTATTGTGTAAAATCATCGTTTGAATCGGAACTAAAGCTGTCAGACGAATGAAGAGGAGTAGAAAGTGGCATGTTTCCCTCTGAAATGAGGCGGAGAAAGCAGCATAAAGTAGAAATACTTGCTTCAAAATTGTACTTTAGTGCCGTAAATGAAGTTTTTACCCCTAAAGAGGTGGCAGCAAAGACAAAAAACAGTCCAAAAAAGTTCAGTCATCCAACAAATGTTGCTGTTACTGTTCTCATGATCACCGGTTGTAATAGAAATTAAGAATATAATGTCGACAAACGCTGGAATTTCCTTTTAAACTTACATTTTAAACTAACATATACGGCATGATGAGAACAATCTGAGTGTCTATTCAGTCAAAGAATACAACACAGTAGTCCCAGTGTACAATGTCTTCATTATTACAGCCAAACAGCTTCGTTGTGTGTCCTTTTTTTTTGTTGCTCTGCTGGTCAGTTGTGTTTGTCGTCTCCTCACCGCTCTGTGCCCCCCCGTCAGGAGTCGTACCGGCCCCTGGGAGAGGACTTCAGCTTCGGCAGCAGCGCTCTGATTGGCCTGCTGGTGATCGCGGTGGCCATAGCAACGGTGATTGTGATCAGCCTGGTGCTGCTGAGGAAAAGGCAATACGGCACCATCAGCCACGGCATCGTGGAGGTAAGAACCCCCACGGTTGTATCGCAAATATCCATAAATCACCTCCTTTAGATCGACACAGCGACCTTTAGCCTTCATGTGTTTGAGGTTTCTCAACGTAGGCATCTACAGTTCATTTGTGGATATTTGCAGCAGAATTATGATTAATATTCATTCCAGTTCCATACATCTGCAGTTTAATTCTTGACTAGTCGTAATTCTAGTACAACATATCATCAGTTCCCTTCGATTTGCATCCTCTTTTTTTTCTTTGATTAATTTTTTTTGTCATAAATATCTTGAATTGGACTTCTGCCTGTTAAAATCTAAGAGTTTTGACTTGGCGACATGCAGGCATCTGTAGCTCGGTCAGAAGTTACAGCACGTTAGAGGCCGTATCATCACACTTCTCGAACGTATCGTGGCGCTGCAGTCGTAACCGCCTATGACGAGTTTTTTTACCGCCGTGTCAGAGCAGCTCTCTAGTTCATTTCAACCTCGAGTCTCTAAAGAACGAATCTCTCGTTCTCCGTGAGCTCCTCCTGTTTCGCAGCATTTTTATTTTGACAAATTTGAAGGGTGCACAAAACGTTTTTGAGATGTTCATCTGGTGGCAAATATTTGCGTTACTCCACGCCCTGGTCAGGTGTGGTTGTAGATAGCATGACCAGCACACAGACGCTCCTCTGACCAGAAACTATAAAAGACTGCTTTAAAATGCAGCTTTATTCAAATGACACGAAGCCACAGATGAAGAGAGAAAGACGAGAGCAGACCGTTGGGTTGCTGGATGCTGTAGGTCAGCTAGAGCCTGAACGTCCACAACGCCACCATTTGTCATCAGAGAAATCGAACTGACCAACAACATGATCCAATCTCCTAAAATGTCCAACAAGTCCTTCAGGAAGAGTGACACAACATTTTAAAAACCTTGTGAACTCTCTGTGACTCACTCCTGGTCTATTATCTCTTTATTTGCCCGTCATCATTTGTCATTCTGTTGTTGAGATGCTGTGTTAGAATAACAAATATTTATTCCACTTTGTTAAAAGGAATGGGTAGAATTTTATTTATTATTTTGACTAAACTGAATTACAAAAATATGTCACAGTGGTTTTGATCAGTCAGAATGACGTTATAGATATCTTTATTAAGAATTGTGTGTTATTGGTCAATTGGTCTTTAAGTTAAAGTCAAACTAAGCTATTTAATATTCAAACAGGTTTCCATAAACCACCTGTTAGTTAGAGCGGAGGCTAGAGAACACACACCAGCTGTCTGACTCAATCAACCAATCAATCAATCAGACTTTATTTATACCAAACCATCCAACACAAAGTGTGTTACCGATCAGAGGAATAAGAATGCAATAAAACAATTCAAACAGCATCATGTCATAAATGAAGGATTTAAACACACATTGTTAAGGAAATGAGGAAACGCTGCCGTAAATATCACCTGCAATGAGGAAACAGCAGGTGGAATAGAATGAAATAAAACAGAATAAGATTTTAAAAAAATAAATAAATAGGATAAAATTAAATAAAGTAAGATAAATAAAAATGAAATGAATACAATTAAATTAATCAATTAAATTAAACCTGATTAAAGTAAATAAAGACAAATTAAATTAAATATGTATATTATTAAAACATAGATAGATGGGTGAAG